ATTTACAAACCAAACGCTCCCCCTGTTTGGGAGGACTGGGAGGAATATAACCTAATGGCAAATCCATATAGATCTCCTCAAACAAATCACCATGAAGAAACGCGTTGTTGACATCCAACTGAACAATATGCCAATGATTAATGGTAGCAACTGCTAGTAAAAGCTTCACAGTTACCAGCTTGGCCACTGGAGAATAAGTCTCTAAAAAGTCAAGTCCCTCTTGTTGGGTATAACCCTTTGCTACCAACCGTGCTTTGAAGCGATCAAAAGTCCCATCAGATTTATATTTAACCTTGTAAACCCATTTGCAACCTATAGAATGCTTTCCCACAGGTAAGTTGGTGACAGACCATGTTTTATTCTGCTCCATGGCTGATAATTCAGCTGACATGGCATCCTGCCAATGAGGGTGTTGCACGGCCTGCTGATAAAATTGAGGCTCAGTATGGGCTGAAATGTTAAGAAGAAGATGATTATGAGGAGAAGAAAATTTGTCATAAGCGATATAATCGTTTAAAGGGTAAAAGAGAGATTGATGTTTAGGAGAAGAATCATAATGAGATAGAAGGTTGCAATGAAAATCTCTTAAGTATGATGGAGGTTTGTTATGTCGAAGGGATCTCCTGATAGGATTAACAATAGCAGAAGAAGGATTAAGATGTTGATCAGTAGGAGAAAGGGAATCAAGAATGCCAGATGGAGTACTGATCGTATGAGCAGAAGATGCAGGAGAATTAGAGTTGGAAACATGGATATGTGAATCGAAGGAAGAAGAATTTTCAGGATGAGGAATAGGAAGAACCAGTTGGGGAAAATCATCAATAAAATCAGCAGATCTGGTAATGGAATGGAAGGAAAAAATGTTTTCATGAAATATGACATCTCTGGAAATGAAGAAAGTTTTGGATTGAATATCGTACAATCGATAGCCCTTAATACCAGGATGATACCCAACAAAGACACAAACATTTGCACGAGGTTGAAATTTTAGGCGAGAGGAGGGAAGAGTGGATGCAAAACATAAACACCCAAAAACTTTGAGAAAACTGTAATCCACAGGAGATTTGTAGAGTAGAATATATAGAGTTTTGTTTTGTAAAATAGGAGAAGGAATCCTATTAATTAGAAAGGTAGCTATAAGAATACAATCTCCCGAGAAAGAGACTGGAAAAATAGTGCCCTGGCTACATTAAGTAAATGCTGGTGTTTTCGTTCGACAACCGAGTTCTGCTCAGGTCTTTCAACACACGAGAATTGATGGATGACACCCTTTGAGCTGAAATATTCCTTGAATTGTAATTCAGGTGCATTATCTGATCTGAAGGCCTTAATAACCTTGTTAAACTGAGTTTCAATGAGACTGAAAAACTTGGGAATTATCTGGTGAACATCAGATTTGTGCTTCATTAAATACACCCAAGTAAACCTAGTAGAATCATCAACAAGAGTGAGAAAATATCGATATCCTTCACGTGTTGGAGATTTGTACGGGCCCCAAGTATCACAATGGATGAGGTCAAACGCATTAGCAGACAAGTGGTTATTCGATATAAACGATAACCTTCTTTGTTTGGCTAGGGGACAAATATAACATGGTGCAAAACATTTATCATTATTGAAATTGAGCTGATCTCTTAAATTGTCCAGTCTTTTGAAAGATAAATGGCCAAGACGATTATGCCAAACAAGAGGGGATACATTATTCAATACAGAAAAAACAGGTTTACAATCATCATTAGATGCACTTCATTTATCCTTCACTTCAACTGCATCAATGATATAAAGACCAGCACCCCTCTTAGCCCTGCCAATCATCCTCAAGTTACACACATCCTGAATATCACAATGATCAGTGAGAAAATTGACACTGAAATTTGAAGTCCTTGTTATGCAACTGATTGATAACAAGTTAAATTTGAACTGAGGAACAAATAACACATCTTCAAGAATTAATTCAGGTGTTAGTCTAACAGTTCCAGCAAATTTAACTTCAATTCTGATATGATTAGGCAAAGTGATGTAAACATTCTGCACAGCTTCCAACGTTTGAAAAGATTCTCGATTGAAACAGACATGGCTGGTAGCACCTGAGTCAAGTATCCAGTGTGTAGGGGAACTGATTTGAGTAATAGAAATGGAAAAACATGTACCCGATTCATGGCTAGATTTAACCCCCTCATTTTCAACTTTAGTATCTGAGAGGTATGTATTCAACAAATTCATTAGATGTTGATACTGATCTGAATTCAAATTCTGCACAAAACTCCCAACATTGCCATCGTGCTTATCTGAAATAGAGCCAAAGATTTGATTAGCAATAGCTTTAGTAGATTGAATATTGTAACATGTTTGATTGCTTCCACTAGCATCTATCGGATTAGCAGAATTAGGCCCTTGTCTTGATTTGAATCCAGGAGGATAACCATGTAGTTTATAGCATCTATCAACCACATGACCTTCACCTCTACAATAGGTACAAATAGGTCTCTCCCTTCTCTGAAATCTACTATAACTTTGCCCCGGATTAACTCTTTTAACATCATTTCTAGCAAAAAATGCTAGAGAATCAGTAGCACCAGCTGAAACATTTATCGACCTCTGATGCTCCTCTTGGCTGATGAGTGAAAATACTTTGTTAATTGGTGGAATAGGATCCATGAGTAACAACTGTCCTCTAACCTGGGCATATGAATCATTTAAACCCATTAGAAACGACATCACATATTCCATGTGATAATGATCGGCCAATTTCTTGTTTCTTCCACAATTACATTGACCACATGAACAAGATGGGCGATAATTGCTTAGCTCTTCCCAGATACCTTTGAGTTTGGTAAAGTAAGCACCAACAGACATCTGACCCTGTGTATGGTTCATTAAATTTCTTCTCAACTGGAAAATTTGAGGACCATTCCTTTGCTGGAAACGTTTCCTGAGATCGAAGCAGATCTCATGAGCAGACTCGGAGTAAATAATGCTAGCAGATATTTCCTTTGAAACTGAATTGAGTATCCATGAGATAACAACATTATTGTTCCGAGTCCAAGACCTGAGTAGATCTTCGTTTTCTGCAGGCTTAACAACAGATCCATCAATGAAACAAAGTTTGTTTTTCACGGAAAGAGCTATTGTCATAGCGCGACTCCATGAAGAGTAATTCTCCCCAGTCAGTGGTTGCGAAACCAGAACTAAACCTGGACCATCTGAATGATGAAGATAGAAAGGACTTGAAACATCATCAATGGCGGATTGACTCATTGATAAAGATGAATTTTGATTTTGGATAGTAAGATTTGCCATGATTAATCAGAATTCAATGACTAAGAAGAAGTGAATTTGCTCTGATACCATATTGAGGAATAAAAAGAATTGAAGATCTGAAAATATCTGCTTCTTATTATTTTGAAAATGAAGAGTATGTTACAGTATAAATAGAAAAGGAATTAATACAAATTTAGGCAGGAACTTCTGTTGTGACAGCTCAGCTTTTCCTAACAAACTTTGGCGCCTAAAGTGTTGCTTCCAGCAGCTTCCATTGACTCTGAAATGAATGGTTCGATTCTTGCAATCTTCATTACTGCAAATGCTTTTGGTGGATGCCGGAGCCAGCGACGACGGGATTGTGGTGATGGAGTTTTTTGGTTGGGTTTAGGAGGAGGGTACGGTGTGGGAAGGAGAAGATGAATAGTAATTGGGTTTTGATTTTTGTTTTTTAATTTTTAATTCAAAATTACCATTTCACTCATATTAAAATTGGTTAAAGTCAATTTACTAGATCAATTAACGGTCAAATCAACAGAAATCGTCCATTTAAACTTCATGTACAAGTTTTTGAAATGTTTGGTATTGTGAGTGTAATAAAATGAAATTTTAGGCCAAGTTTATTTAAATCGAAAGATTTGGCACCGTGACTATAATTTCCCTTTATTTTTCTAATGGATCGTCATAAAAATTGTCCATAAAAATTCACAAGGCACATTAACAATCATAGATAAAACTACAAACCTTTGATTCATTCTTTATTTTTATTTTATTTAATCATCATTATCACATAAATTATTGCATCCACAAAATCATATTATATTGTATCTTGAATATTATATATACCACAAAGTAATTAGAGCATGTTTGGCTAAGCTTAAAAAATTTATCATTAAGCCTCCAATGTAAAAATTAGATTTTTAGTAAATTTTTATTAAAATTGATAAAATGTTTTATTGAAAAGTAGTAAATTCCATGAAACTTGTGTTTAAAATTGATTGTTAACTTTGATTTAGATTATAATATAATTGTTTAGCTAAATCAAATATGGGCTAAATATACTTAATGCCTGTCTGGCCCAGATTATTGCAGCCAAATAATTGATTTTCTTCCTGTTGCAGCCTACAAAATTTGACCATTTCTCTCTGCAGTGGGACCTACAGATCTCCTCCAACGTTTTAAAAAGTGATTTTCCTACCCAATTTCTGTGCGCCCAAACAACCTCCAAGATACTACAGATCTCCTCCAACGTTTTAAAAAGTGATTTCCTACCCAATTTCTGTGCGCCCAGACAGTCTCTTATATATAACTAACTTTTAAAATGAACATCAAATTTAAAAATAAGTAAGTTACTTATTTTTACAGTTTACTTATTTTAACAGAAGTAAAAATTATTTTGAAATATGTAACATTGTTACTTGGAAGTAAAAATATAAATCGCCAAAAATGTTTTTGGAAAAAAAAAAAAGTGTCTGACAAATAGTAATTAGATATATGATTTATACATAACTAGATTATTACAAGTTATTTCATGATCAAGAAGAACCATGTTGTAATTCACATCATACTAGATAGATACTTTTGATTCCTGAACCGGCCTATAGTGTGTCGGACTGCCATACTTGGTATTCTACGTGCACCTATACACCCTTATCGTTATAAGACTCAAAGCTAAACAAACTTTAGAACTTACTTCTTAATTATTCAACCTAATTAATTAAACTCTATATTAAAAACTTCTAACCAGTCTTCGTTTGCTTAAAAGAATGAAACTGATAACTCATTGGCAGAAACATCTTTTTTTCTTCTTCATCCATAGGCCAGAGAAAGTCTGGACAATAATCCCATATTGGAGATGCCATCGTTTGACTTGGGAAATTGTAATTTTCTTCAGACAATTCAATGTCTTTCCATATCTCATCCATGGAGTACAAGTTTGTGATTTCTTCTTTTTCTTGAACATTCTTGGATTCGGAACGTCGTGAGACGGGTCCATCCATTTTTGAGGTGGGCGTTTGAACATCGAGTTTTTTTCCTGTACTTGGTACCACATCAAGACCTCCGGTGTCATAAAAACTGGGCTCTTTGATCTCTTCAATTATGTTACATGAAGAAGATTTGGACGAGGACGATGGAGATACAGCTGATTTCTTCCTCTCTTGAGCACTTTTTCTCATATGGGTTCTCCAGTAATTCTTGATCTCATTATCTGTTCTTCCAGGTAATTTCTGAGCAATTTTTGACCATCTGCATGTGGTTATATATCTCTATCTATTAGAACTACACGATTCAAGATTTGAACAAGAATAGGCTTCATATAGTTCTATATTATGACGTACAATCTCAGCTCCACGCATTATTATACTTATATAAGCAACTTGCTTTTTCTTTAACATTTTCCACTATAATCTATTCTAGCTCCCACAAGCCACGTTTGCAACACTAATAAGTCGATTTTAATTCACTCCAGCGAACCAAATATGCCTAACATGTCAAATACTTATACCACTGCATACTCTACAGACAACTGGACAACACCAATATGTCGACTTTCAGTATTCATATATTGTCTAGTATGGTTGAGTTCAACATAACTGTGTCACACACTTGGAAGAACCAACAAGTTTATACTCCCCTAGACCCCTACCACAAACCTACAGATAAATATACAGTGAGAGAGAGCGAGAACCTATTTCCCCATTTAGAATGAAGTTGAAGAACAAGTCGCTGTTCATGGGGTGTCATCTTGCCTCTTTTTAAAGCAGGATTGAGATAATTAACCCAGCGGAGCCTGCAACTCTTCCCTGTTCTTTTCAAACCTACAACAAAAAGAGCAATATATACGTGGAATATTGTGTTAAATTATGGGTTCATTGAAAATTGGATTCATTGCCCAGATAAATCCTACCTAGTACTTTTGTCTCCCGCCAACCTTCAAACCTGATACTTTTGCTATGAAATCCCATCGCCTTTCACCAAACAAGTTCACGTATAAAACCAGCTGATAATCTTCTTCTTCTGTCCATGGACCTTTTCTCATCATTTCTTCCTTCTGCACCATGCTCGCTCTCTTTCTATCTCTCTCTGTCTTTTCTATGCTTTTACCTATACTTGCAAAGGGTATTTATATAGCGGTGACTGGCTTGGCGTTACTAGGTGATAATTTGTTGGTTTGGATCCTAACCCTACATGTGGCTTGACGATGATTTGATGATAAGAGAATATGGCTATATGATGCAAGCCCATTATAAAGTGCTTTAGATAAGTGGTTGATATGTTCGTGTAGCTTTCATAACTGACCGGTCATTTAGCACTGTTGCTTCACTGTAGTTTATTGGGAGTGTGACTTCCACTCACCTAGAGTAAAAACAAAAAATATTGTAAGTTTTGCCAACGCGACAGTGACAGTTCACAGTCGAGCTTTTGCTTTGGATTCCCTGTTGAAACTCGTTAGAATAAACTCGTTAGCTTGAACGTCAAGAAGTGATATAGAGCTAAAATTAGTTCTGTCGATCGACCATAGAGGCCCAAAATGGAGGGTTGGCTTACGTTTGTAGTGAGTTACTCTAAGATAAGAGAGACATATGTTAGAAATAAAGCGAATACCAGTTTGCTCTAATATCACTTGTTAGAAATTGAGCTAATTGTTATGAATATTAAAGCTAAGATAATGAGCAACCTGAAAATAACAATTACAAGAACCTAAGATTTACGTAGAAACCCGTTTCGCGTGGAAATCGAGTCTCGCTAACAATTAAAAGAAGGTTCAGACGATTGTGTAAGAAACAATCTCTAGAGACAAAATCCCAATGAGGGGTATTTTATTTATGAAGATTATAATTTGAACGAAGCCAAATACTTCCGAGGGGCACAAGCACACTGAATTCGCAAAGTAATTAAAAGTTAACAAGAAGAAAATGAATAAAATTATATAATTCTCTGTTTGAGAGTCGTTTGATCTTTTTTTCTTCTAAATTCTTCTTTCTCTTTTATACTTCTTTGACAGTTTTTCTTGTAGAATCGTTTGAAAACTGCTTCTCGTTCTGTAACTACCAACTTTCTTCATTATGGATGACTTGTCAAGAAACTGCCGTTTTCAACCACTGTCATTACTCTAATCACTTAATTTCTTGCAACTGAGATTCTTAGATCGTTGAATGTGATAAAATCACCCATTAACTGCTTTAGTAACCGTTGCTTCGAACAGTAACCAAAACATAATATTCGCCCAGATCTTAGGTGTCACACAGGCTTATACGATGAAAGGCTTGTCCAGATTTTGGGCGTCTGGGTGTGCGTAGGCTTAAGCAATGATGGACTTCCATAACATAACTCCATATTAGGTTTTTATATGGTCTCATTTGGGTCCATCCTTTGAATTTCCTAACTGTGGTTTCATTTTTTGGACAATTTTATTGGGCGTCATTTTTGTATGTCAACAATTACCTCCCAATATGGCAAAATTAATATTAATTATGAATCTTATGTCATATTCTTCTTTTGTATTTTCCGACAATACTTGAAATCCCAAAAAGGAAGGAGAATCCAATCATTATTTTCGTTTGGCAGTAACCCTCTACATCCTGAAAAGTGTAATATCACCCAACTCCTATAAACCAAAAGACACGCCACTTCTTCGCGCCATTATACCCACATCTTGCATCGCGCGCTTCTCTTTCTCCTATAAAAATCACTGTTCATCTTCTTGATTCTCTGCTAGGCATCTCAAAAACCCCCCACCAAGACTGTATTTTGTAGCAAATGACGACTTCGCAGAGCCCTTTCTACAACTCTCTAAGTTTCGAAGACTTCCAAAACTTCTTCACTTAGCCGCTTATAAATTCAGGTTCCCTTTAACCAGCCTACCCTGACTTCAATGAATTATACCTAAGGCCGTCATTTAATGATGCTGAATCTGTTGGGCAAAAGGTGGTGGGCCAACTATTCCCTTGCACTCAAGATCTTCATTTTCTAAACTCTCTACCGCTAAAGCCAATCCACATAAAAGGTATTCGTACTTGGCCCAAAATCGATACTACTTTTTGCCTATGGCATACACGTATGGTAAATCATGGCCCTACTAAGGCGATTTTTGATCGTACTAGGATTTTGGATTTATTAGAAATCGCTCCCCGTCCCCCAATCTATGATGCCGTGCTTTTTCCTATTACTTTAAGTTTTTGGTCTTTTGAATATAATACTTTTATTTTCCCTCTTGGCCCAATATCTATTACTCCGATGGATGTTGGAGCCCTAGTAAACCTTCCGCCATTGGGCGACACCATTTCTCCTGCCATTTTGGTTACTGGGGCTGCCCTAGAATTTGAGAAAAGATTCACTAATTCTTACTGGGGTATGCAGGAGCTTTATAATAATTCTGGTGTTGAACCTATTCACGCTGAGCGTGTCCCCTTTTATCCAGGTTTGGCTTTGTAATTACATTCTTTGTGTGCCCAGCGTTAAACCATATACTAATTCTGGTGTTGAACCTATTCACGCTGAGCGTGTCCCCTTTTATCCAGGTTTTGCTTTGTATTTACATTCTTTGTGTGCCCAGCGTTAAACCTTCCATGAGTTATTTGGCCATAGCGCATGAACTAGTGCGTAGTAAGCCTTTAAATCTTTGTTCATTTTCTTAGCCTCCTTTTATAGAGGCATGACTTCCCTTCAATACCAGTTAAGGAATGGTACATCTCCTACTGGAAGAGGGCCTCTTTAGCTAGCTGAATTGTGGTTGAGAGCATACTTTCCACAACTTGATGCTCTATCCACCCCTTCTCAATCTGTTAGTTGTTATGGGGTGGCCATCAACCAATTGAGCTTTATTAATATGTCTAGGAGGGATGTTTTCTCATTCTTTTATAACTTGAATTCAATCTCTTCCTTTTTTCCTTTTCCTACTCACTCAATTCCAAACTACGTGCAACATCTTTCTACCATGGATGATGTGAGCGCATTTTTGCCCGTTTGGGCCTAATATTTGCTTGGAAAAGAATTGTTCCATGACATCTTAACCAAAACAAATGCTAAGGCAGGGATTGTGTAAGGAACAACAACCTCTCGAGACAAAGTCCCTACGAGGGTGTTTTAATTATGAAGATACAATTTGAACGAAGCGAAATGACTCCAAGGGATACAAGCACACTAAATTCGCAAAGTAATTGAAAGTTAACAAGAAGAAAAGGAATAAAATTACATAATTCTCCATTTGAGAGTCGTTTGATCTTTTTGTCTTCCAAATTTTTCTTTCTCTTTTATACTCATTTGACAGTTTTTCTTGTAGAATCATTTGAAAATGCTTCTCATTCTATAACTACCCACTTTTTTCATTATGGATGACTTGTCAAGAAACTGCCGTTTTCAATCGCTGTCATTACTCCTATCACTTAACTTCTTGCAACCGAAATTCTTAGATCATTGAATGTGATAAGATCACCCATTAATTGCTTTAGTAACTGTTGCTTCAAATAGTAATCAAAATGCTATATTCGCCCAGATCTTGGGCGTTACATAAGCTTTAATGATGACAGGCTTGCCCAGATCTTGGGCGTCTTGGCGTTGTATAGGCTTGAGCGATGATGGGCCTCCATAACATAACTCCATCTTGGGTTTTTATTTGGTCTCGTTTGGATCCATCTTTCGAATTTCCTAACTAGGGCTTCATTCTTTGAACCATTTAATTGGGCCTCATTTTTGTATGTCAACAAAATCCAAGACGGGAAAAACCACGAATAGAGGTAAAGAATTCACTATATCAAAACTAAGAGGTTACATTATGTTATGCTGGATTTCACGAGACTCTCCTGATATCTCTATTTGTGAGTTTCTCTCTATTAATCTGGATCCACATGGATCACTCACTTAATCGATCAAATAAATATATGTAATACACCATATATTTAAAATACAATAATCTCTAGCATACTAGTAGAATTAATACAAATAAGCGTCTAATACAAGGTGAAGTTCTATTACAATCGGTAAAACTAATAACGGAGTATTTGAATTAAAATAGGAGTCCTAAAATTGGTCAAAACACAAAACACTGATAATCCGAATAAAACTGTCGCTCGAGCAGTCAGCAAGCGATTTTACAGCTACTTCTTCACTTTTGTCCATCGTTTGTCTTCTTTGACTCCTTGTAAAAACCTCTTCAAGACTTCTCCAATAAACAAACAATCAACTCCAAATATACCTATAAAACAGAATTTAGGTCACACTGAAATTCTAACAAATCTCCATCTTGACAAGACTTCACATATAAGGAATAAAACTTAACTATTCAACAAACTTCAAAAATTCTCCAAAACATAGCACTCCAAACAAATTGCTTCATCTCTTCCACAAAGCCCCTAATGGCAAACTCAACAACTATGAATTGAATTCAAGCACTTCTTACTAACATAATTACCTTGGACACAAACAACAAAATCATCAAGTCCACAACAAACTCCATCTGAATTAATAAATTTTCTCGAATTATTCTCACGAGCAACACGATCACAACTAACTCCATTTGACTTAATGCCTATCAACGTATAAACAACGAAATCAGTTTCATCGAACCTCTCATGAGGTCTAATATTTCTTTTCATTAATTTAGTGACAGTTGCATCAAACGTGATTGTGGAACCATGTAAGACATATAACTGGGACCTTCTCTACCCCATTATCACAACACGATCCTTATGTTACTTCTCCTCCAACGTCCAAATAAAAATCTGGTATTGCAATCTCAAAGCGAAATATCAAAAACTTCATACTTGACATCCCGAAATAATTAAACCTCTTTTGAGTTAATCAAACATCACTCTAATACGCGACAAAATTGGCTCTCCAAAGAACTGTTGAACTTTGGCTTTGATACCACTTGTTAGAAATAAAATGAATACGTGTTTGCTTCTATATCACTTATTAGAAATTGAGCAATTGTTATGAATACTAAAGACGAGATAATAAACTACAT